TTTACAAATTTTATGTTCCTCTTGCTGTTTCCTTTAAGTTGGCTTCTGTTAGACACATTGCAGAAATTTAGAAATAAGAAAGGATAGGTTTTTTTACTTACAGGATGAATGCAAATATAAAAGGAATGGGTTGGCTGTTGTAGTGAAAGAGTAGCCCTCAGAGACCATGGTGGGGTTATATATATATATGTGTGTATGTATGTATAATGTCATGTACTACGATTTCTATTAAAAAATCAGCTTCTATGTTGTAGACTGGGGAAGGGAGTCTTGTTTTAAAATTGAAAAGGCACTAAAGATCTCAAGTTCCTATTGGTTTTAATACTACTGCACCCCAGGACCAATTTCACAGCTCTCATCTGTTGGAAAACCACTAAAATGAGTCTCTCCTTTCGGAGAAATTTAAAATACGTGATAAGGAGACCAATAAGGATTCCATCTAGTTTATTAATGGCACATATTTTATTCTGCCCCAGAGCAACATTTACAGCTCTGGCATGATAGAACAAGATGTGAAGATAAAAGCATTAATAATTAGTTCATATGTCAACCTTTGTGACTGGTCTTGCCTCCAAGTATGGAGCTGTTTTTGTTTTTGTTTTTTTTTTTTTAATTTAAAAAAGAATCACAAGGAAAAGAGTTTTGACTAAAACATCTCAAGGAATGAGAAGTGCCTTATGTTCGAACATTCAGATGACATCGTAATGTGTTCATGGTAGATGATTCTGCCCATTATTAATGCTGATGCATAAATATTATATAGATATAGTTAGATTTCCAAATCTGAATGAAAAATACATTTGCAGTGCTCATGCAAGAAACATCTGAACAAAAAGCAGAATTGAATAATTGATGTGAAAATTCAGTGTTTCGTTAATTAGTTTAGATAATGGGAAATTAAGATAAGGGAAGAACAGTTCAAAGTAATTGTTTTTAGTTAATTGTTTCCATCTGTTGCTACAGAGGAGAAGGGAGATACTGCTCTTTTTGCAAACATGATATATGTAAACCTTTCAGGTGGCTACAGTATTAAGTACTGGTTTAACACATCCCGATTGGACAGGTCAAAAGTAGTTATCTGCGAACAGGAAGCACACAAGTGCTTTTTGCTTTTTATTAAGCAAAATTATTTTATTAAGACTGCTATTTGCTGTCTTAATTTCTCCTCTTGTTGACATAGTTTTCATTAAACAGGCTAATTCTGCTTTGTTTTATTGGGTTGGGGTTTTTTTTCAGAGCAGTTCTGACTGTATTTTTAAAATTAGTCATCCCCTGTGGAGGTTGAGGCTGGCCATATCCTGCTTTGGTCCTTTAGTTTCCAGCACACTGTTGCTATCCCGTCTACGTTGTGGGTAAAACGGTGGTTAAGCAAGGGGGAAGAAAAGAAGAAAAGCTAAATGTGTTTTCCCCTCTGCAGTTTCGTAAATCTGTGGCAATGTTAGACAGCCAGACATACCATATCTGTATATGCAGGATTATAGAATCGTTTGGGTCGGATGGGACCTTTAAAGGGCATCTAGTCCAACGCCCCTTGCAATGAGCGTGGACATCCTCAACTAGATCAGATTGCTTAGGGCCCCATCCAACCTGACATTGAATGTTTCCAGGGATGGGACATCTACCACCTCTCTGGGCTGTAGATACCCCATCCATGGTTTAACCCTGGACCGCAGCTGAGCCCCACACTGCTGCTAACTCACTCCCCTCTGGTGGGATGGGGAAGAGAATCAGATGGGTAAAAGTGAGAAAAATTGTGGGTTGAGGTAAAGGCAGTTTAATAGGGAAAGCAAAAGCTACGCTTGTAACCAAATTTCAGAGCAGTTCTGACTGTATTTTTAAAATTAGTCATCCCCTGTGGAGGTTGAGGCTGGCCATATCCTGCTTTGGTCCTTTAGTTTCCAGCACACTGTTGCTATCCCGTCTACGTTGTGGGTAAAACGGTGGTTAAGCAAGGGGGAAGAAAAGAAGAAAAGCTAAATGTGTTTTCCCCTCTGCAGTTTCGTAAATCTGTGGCAATGTTAGACAGCCAGACATACCATATCTGTATATGCAGGATTATAGAATCGTTTGGGTCGGATGGGACCTTTAAAGGTCATCTAGTCCAACGCCCCTTGCAATGAGCGTGGACATCCTCAACTAGATCAGATTGCTTAGGGCCCCATCCAACCTGACATTGAATGTTTCCAGGGATGGGACATCTACCACCTCTCTGGGCTGTAGATACCCCATCCATGGTTTAACCCTGGACCGCAGCTGAGCCCCACACTGCTGCTAACTCACTCCCCTCTGGTGGGATGGGGAAGAGAATCAGATGGGTAAAAGTGAGAAAAATTGTGGGTTGAGGTAAAGGCAGTTTAATAGGGAAAGCAAAAGCTACGCTTGTAAACAAATCAAAACAAGTAATTCATTCACTGCTTCCCACTAGCAGGCAGGTGCTCAGATATCTACGAGAAAGCAGGGCTCCATCACCTGTGCCGGTTACATGGGAAGACAAACACCCTAAGTCCAAATGGCCTCCTCTTCTTCCTCCTTCCATGAGGTCATACGGCCTGTGATATCGCTCTGGCTGTGTCCCCTCCCAACTTCTTGTGCACCCCCAGCCTACATGCTGATAGGGTGGCGTGAGAAACAGAGAAGGCCATGACACTGTACGAACGCTTCTCAGCAATAGCTAAAACATCAGTGTGCTATCAACACTGTTTTCATCACAAATCCAAAATGTACCCCCATTTGCTACTGTGAAGAAAATTAGCTCTATCCCAGCCATAACCAGTACAAAGGATCAAAAAAAGAAAAGCAGATCCTTAGCACTCTACAATGGTAAGTGCGGCTTGCTCGAAAATAAAATTGAGCTAGGGATTTTTGCATGACTTTTATACAGATGAAAGCATATTCAGTCTTACACAGATGAGAGAATTTTGGGCACCACTTTAGTCTGCAGCTTGCAAAGGACTTGGATGAATAACCAGCAAAATTATTGACAATCAAACCCAGAAGTACATTTGTAATATTTATACTGACTAGCACCATTTTCAGTAGTTCCCCATTTGCCATAATGCTTTCTTTGCATAATAGTTTTGCTGGAATAGCACTTTATTGTAAGTGTTGTTCATCATCTTCTCTTTCAATCTAAGAATTTCAGTAAAACTATGATTCTAAAATTGGGTATTGGAACACCCCCAACTAAATATACTCCGACTTCTAATAAATACTGTCATCTTTTTGTCCTAAGGACGAGTAATTAAAGACTCTTGAGCTATAAGATGTATTGTTGCCAGGAAGTAAGGTGTGAGCATGAGAATCTTAGGCACTCTGAGACTGTATAGTCCATATAATTTCTCTAAAGCTATTCCTGTTCTGCCAGTCATGAGTTTGTTTGGGAGTTGGAGGGTGTGATGCTTCCATGGTATGCAGCACTTAGGAAATATCCTGCTTTCAAGAAGAGTTGGTTTCATAGGTGCGTAGATTAACCTATTTTTCATCAGGAGTAAAACTTCATATACTTTTATTTTCTAGGTTAGTATGTGTTCTTTTTTGTGGTGTTTTGTTTGTTTTTTTGTTTTGTTTTGTTTTGGTTTGGTTTGGTTTTTTTGGTTTTTTGTTTTTTTGTTTTTTGTTTTGTTTTTTTTTTCCAGCTTGGTGGTGTTAATGAAGTCCTATTCAGTATAAACCTCTATCTAGATTCACAATGCATCAAGTTTCATGCTTGTTTTCTTTTTATTTTCTCACAGTTTTTTTCTACATAAAGGGAAAGGAAAACAATCAGTGTATGCAATAGATTTGTTGAAGTTTTTGTTTTAAAAAGTTTCTCAGATGCTAGACTATATATAGATGCTTATAATCAGCTTGTAAGAAATTAAGCAACCTAAACTTGTTGAATGTAGGTTCCTGTAAATTGAAATGTCACTTTGAGATTTGAAGTAGTATAAAAATGAATCTTGTTTCTGGAGCGAGTGCTACAGGTGTTTAGTGTTTATTACAGGCTGCTGGGTATTTTTGAGATGCTGAGTGCCCACTACTAGCAGTTCCAGTGAATGCAGGCAGTGCTGGAGCTATCGTCGTCTTTTGAAAATTCCTGGGTGTCATTTCTCAGAATGAAGGATCCCATACAGCCCCGTGCGGATGATTCAGTTCCCTTATTGCATGTTCTAGCTGCAGATCACCACTTTCCTTGTCACTTAGACTGTTCAGATTCTACCAAAGAAACAACTGAGTGAGGAATGTTACTGCTCTGCTCTTTCTGCTAAATCTGATGATTTAGCAGATAATCTGAAATTAACAGATTCATCTTTCTGCTAAACCCTCTCAGAAATCCTGCTCACATAATGGTTGAATTTTAAAAAATTCAATTAAATACATAGCAGAGACAGCAGCAATAGATACAAAGAAGGCGGCTTTTTTAGTAAAGGAGGGTTTCTATAATAAGACATTGACTACTGAGATGTGTGTCAAATCAAGTCTTCCATATCCAGGCTGGACACAGAGTTGTAATCATGTATGAGTAAAAGGGCCTGGCAAAAGCTGGAGCGAGGATTGCAGTACGGAATTCAAGCTTTGCCTGAAATGTCATCAGGAGCACTTGTTTTGCTCTGATCCTGAAGTAATTCTGTTGACAGTATGTGGCTCCTTATCCTGATCTTTCTTTATGATGTTTTTTTTTTATGGTAGCTAGTGGTCATGGTTAACATTTTCTAAACTCTCTTCATGTTTACCTTATGATGTTTCTTAAAAAACATACCTAATTCTTAAGACCAAAACTAACTTGTGTGCAGATATTGACAAGCAATGGTAATTGCTTGTGTTTCACCGCTTTGTGACAGATAAGTTGACCAAAATGATGGAGTTTGTGTCTGTTCTTCCATATAAGTATTTGCAGTTTCTGGTTGTCAGTGTGCAGTTCCAAATTTTTAATATGAATCATTTGTCCATATTGTGTCTGTCTTCTGAGGCTTTAAGGGTTCCCTTCTCCCTTTGTAAAATTTTGCATCTCCTTTTTGCAGGACCCGACTAGGATTCTGAACATAAATAGCAGCAGCAGCAGTAGTAATAGTTTTTCAAAGACCCACAAGTTAGCAAAGGAGCACAAGGAAAAAACTTCTAAAGACTCAAAAGAACATAAAAGTGCCTTCAAAGAACCTTCCAGGGAACACAGCAAATCTTCCAAAGAATCCTCTAAGAAACCCAAAGAAAACAAACCACTAAAAGATGAAAAAATAGTTCCCAAGATGGCCTTCAAGGAACCCAAACCCATGACCAAGGAGCCAAAATCCGAAAACACCCCTATCCTTACCATAACAGGTGGGCAGCCACAAGAAAAGAAGACTCCCACAAAAAGGCCCTCTTTTCTGGACTCTGATGAGCCTTCTGCAAAAAAAAGAAAAAAAAGTGGCTCGGATTCGTTATTTAAAAGTTTTTCTAGTGCCCCACCGCTGATTCTTACTTGTTCAGCTGACAGAAAACAGACAAAGGATAGATCTCAGCTCAAAGTGGGGAGAGTCAAAATTGAAAATGATGCACTGGAGAAGAAGACGCCCACTCTGCCACCATTTGAAGATATTGTAGATACCAATGATTCTGACATGGAGGAAAACACGTCCTCCAAATCTGAAGTAAGTGGTGTTTGGTTTTGCTTCATACGTATTGAGTACTCCCAGTCTGTGGGACTGTGCACCATATTGGTATTTTTTCCTTCTTTTCTCCTGTATACTGGCAGATTGTTCAAACTGGAGGACGTAGACTGCCAGCTGCTCAAACTTATGCATGTTCTAGTTGAATTATATTGCCTATTCAAGTCTACGCAATTTATAAATCTGTCAACATTATGACAAATGAGCATGTGGGAGACGGCTATAAATAATATTGCTCTTTTGATCTTTTTCTTCTGAATTTTATGCTTCTTGTGAGAGAAAAGGAAATTGATTTAAATGCTTGTATTTCACACCCTAAGTCTTTGTGTTCAGATGTTAGAGAATTCAGTAAATTCAGGAAAGCATTACCAGTAAATCAGACTGTTACTTGTTATATTTCTGCTAAAAAGGGCAGTTCTGCAAATGATGCCAGTTTTGTGGAGGAGCAGGAGTAGTTCCTAGAATCTTCACTCTCATGAGGAGAGTCTATCCAAAGTAACAGACTTAGCCAAGAAGAAAGGCTGTTTTTATGGAAGTTTGCTTTTCTGAAAATATTTGCCTACCATGCCTGCTTATTTGTTTCAAGCGTAATTTGACCTTGATGATAAGGATTTTAATCGTTCTCCTAACAGACTTAAGTCTTCAGAAGCATCTTTTATAGAGAGATGAGTAGAGAAGGAAAGAGGAGGGAAGAGAAAGCTTGTTTACTGCCTTCATTTGTGCTTATGGCTAGAGATAGTGTGCACGGGAGAGAGGAAGTCTTCCCAGCCATGCCCACTCCATTCTCTCCTGTTTTCAGTCGTGCACCTCTGCTACTGCCATCAGATTCATAGCCCTGCTTGCTCTCTCTGGAGCAGACAATAAATACCCTGCTGTGGGGAGGTGTCAACATTAGATTTTTACTTTGCAGAAACTTGCCACAAGGGAGAAAGTAATTTATTTCTGAAGTGACCTTTTAATGACTGGTCCCTTAGGGTATGCAAAGGCTATAAAATTTAGAAGGTATGGAATAAGACAGGCTCCACTTTACAGCATGGCACTGGTGATATTGTGGTTAGGGTGATGGTCTCATTCTGGCTTACAACTTATAAATTTTTCTTTAAACCTGAAAATATTCACATTTGTCAGCCGGGGTGTGAATGAATTTTTAATGTCTTCAAAAGAAGATTTTTTAAATTATGTCAGTACCCTTAAGACTCACTACCCTCAGTATAGATGGCTAATTAGCATAGATTTTGCTTTCTGATTTCCTATTCATTCAATAGGTGCCACATAGTGGCACCCTTGTGTTTTACATAGGATGTCACAAATCCACTTGCACTGCTGTTCAGCATCCACCTGCAGTTGACCTGCAGGACCTTATGGGGTGTCTTAATTCTCTACTAAAGCAAAAAAAGCAGATTCAGGGCTCTCTAGTTCTGCAAGCCACTGTTACTGAGAGGATAAACTACCAGAGTCCTCTGAAAGAGAAGCATCTTCTACTGGCCTGGGCTCTGGTATATTTTAATGTTGATGTCCTGGACCATGGAACGGATAGATCTTCAGTGGGAGGGCCAGTATGGTCCACATCTGTGTGGATGAAAAAGATGTCTGCCACTTTGGGACTGCGCTCGTTAATAAATCAGGCTACGTATGGCTGCAGTCAGTGTCTGGATACTATTTAGAAAGTCAATAATATACTTGGTTTTTGAAAAGATAGCGAGAAAACCTGCAATATTTCCCTAAGATGCCTGTGTATTGATACCATTGTTAGTGCTGTGGGAGAAAGAGCTGGGCAGCCTGGTTAATGAGTGTCTACAGAATTTCAGAGTTGTTCCTTCTGCACTTCATTAGGTTTAACCATGGAGCCTAATGAAAGGTGATCAAGCAGTATAATAAAGGTAGTTCTGTATTCTGGAAAAAACAGTTTGGACTTTTTGTATGTGTTGATTGGTTCCTAAGCATTTTAGGAAAAGGAAAGAGCAGCTTGTACAGCTAGGCCTGTGAAGGGTACATCATATAAATATAGTCATATAAAATTTAAAAAAAAAAGCATAAATTGCAATGTTACATAGTAATGGTAGTGAAAACATGATTATGCTTTTGCTATACAGGCCAATTTATTTCAGGTCCTTTAATGCTTCATGATACTGATCAACATAATTGCCTGAAGCTGTGGAGACACTGGTTCAGTGGCATGTTCTGGCATAATTATATGCTATAAGATTCTGTCAAATGTAATTTCTTACTCTGGTACAGTTGCAGCAGTGGGTATCATAGCATTGATGAACAAAAACGTATCATTATTTAGGAGCAGATTCGGTGATAAAGTACCCAGGATTTATTCATAAAGTGGCTTTCAAAAAGCAAAACCACAAAACCCAACTCAGCAAATTTAGGTTAGATATAACAAATCAGATTGCAAATCAGCACCTAAAAGAAAATTATTAGGATACCACAAAAATATTACCTTAAGTCAAGTGCATTTTTTCTGGTTTAAGTTACATTTTTGCATAGTGCAATATACCGTATGAATTGTTGTAATAAAATTCTGAATAATTTTGCTAAGAATTTTGTGAGGACAATATCTTTTTCACTCCATGTTCTCATTGTCAAACACACACGTCCCAAAATGGTGACTGTTTGCTTTCTTGGTATTAACTCATATGCATAACTATGCATATCAAACATGACAAATTTGTAATAAAGGGTGTAATGTAACAGAGCTGTCTGTAACTGCTCTGTAGCTGAGGTAATATTACTTCACCTAGAATTATTTTAGTTGTGCTTTTATGTTTTACAGAGAGTTCAGTTTTGTCAGGAGGTGCACAAAACCAAGTAGTATTTGTGTGCATTTCTTAAAAAAAAAAAAAAAAAAGTAAGTCATGGGGAGGATAGGGACCTTTATTTTGGAAGTTCTGGAGGAGTCTTCCCTTGGCAAATGTTCATTGTTTCTGAATTTTGCCCATTAACTTGTTTTCTTATAATACGTGAGAACCAAGTTAAAAGTGGGAATCAGCAAACAGTGCTGGCAGTTATCTCCGTAAAAAGCTGCATAGTTGAAGTTCAGACAAATTCATACTGCTTTTATCAAACCTGTTCACCAGAAGCTAGAACTTCCTACAAAAGTAAGTTTCTTCCTGCAGCTGGTCACGCAGAATACTGTTTTCAGAGCTAGGTGTACTCCATGATCAGTTCTCAATTATGAAGGCTGGGTTTGGGTTTTTAAATTAAGCATGACATTCTGAGAAGTCATCATGGTAACGGGTGCTGATGAACATCATTACACATAGGTGCAGTTTCAATGGGTAGGTGCTACCGGGAGGAAATGGTGCTGCTCCCCTGATATCTTCTGATACAGCCCTGTTCACTGAATGGAGATGGGGTGTGTCCTTTCAATTGGTGGGCTTTCACCAGCCCTTCTTAGTACTGGCATCCTGCTCTACCTAGTTCTGCTCAATTCACACTTGAAATACTGGCCTTCACGAAGTGGAGCACGTAGAGGTTTAGCACCCCTGAAGAGAGGTAGAGCATGTCTGCCAATGGCTAATCCCCGCTCTGGACTGTCCCTTAAAATTCAGGTTTAAGAAGACAACTGTTAGCGTACTGTTGCCTCAGGGGCATTTTAGAAAGCCAGACACTGTACTGTGTCCTGCAGTCAGTCCCTCCAAATATCTTTGTAAAATTACAGTGGAAAATGAGAATCACATCCTTGCTTAGTGATAAACTTTCTGCCCTTGTTTATCAGCCTTTGTGTGTGTGACTTAAAGAATAAGACCACGTATTGTCATTTCTCTGTGGTCTCTGTGGTATGCCACAGTGTGGCATACACTGTGGTGTGGTGCACTGCTGTATTTACTTTAGCTCTGTTTTTCTCTTGACTTTGGGATGTTGGCAAGTGAAACGTGTCTCCGTTCCGCTTCATGCAGCTTTGTTGAGTGTCACTTTTCAAATACACCTGGGATTTGAAGTGTGTTGGACTTCAGCTTCAGTGACAGACTTTGTCTTCAAAACAGTGTGGGTCGTCTTAATGTCATAGGAGCTAGCAAAGTTATTCAGGAGCAACTTGTAGTATATTTGTAACTATCCTTTAGACAAAGGGCTGAGGAGTTATTTTACTAGCCTTGGTATGAAGCATGTAAAGTAGGGTACGGAGTAAAAGCATGTGAGATTTATGGTTTTATTGAGGCGTAGGAACTGGCATTGTAGGATTGTAGGAATTCATGCGTAGGAGCATTAGCACTGTCCAGTTGAAAACTCCAAACATTTGGCATTTTAATTCCGTGGCAGGATGTTTTAGTTAAAGGAAGCTCCATCTGTTTGCTCCCTGTGTGGGACGGTGCAGCAACATGAGAAAAAAAAAAGAGAGGGCTTGACAGTCTTGATTTTGTTGCCTGTCTGATAATGAAGTCGGATGATGTTCTCATAACATTATTGTGAGCTGCAAACTGGTGTGTGAGATGGGCCAATACAGAGTTTTCGTTATGAACGGGGCATTTTCCATGGCCAGAGCTACCCCCCGAGCTGTGGAGATGTTAGAGAAGGGATGCTCTGATACTACCTGTTTGATTATTACCAGTTTTGCTGGGTTAGGTAGGGAGGAAATAATGGTGCATGGTCCTAAATGAGGCTGCTGCAGCAGAAAGACACAAAGGAGATCAGGCATACCATATCACCTCATTCTTAGAAAGTCCATTGCAGAACAATGAAAATATAGAAGTGATCACATAGACTGTGGGCTTGTGCTTCATTAACTGCTTTTCTATCTTAAGCAGTCTTAAAGTTACAACATGAGTACCTCTTTAAAGCAATCCATACAATGCCACTTTGAATCTGGCCCATCATCTATTAATTTGACTGTTATAAAGGGGGAAGAGTATTTTGAAAACCCCCATAGTCTTGTAAGACCTCCAGGCCCTTGTTGGCTGAAAAAATCCTGCTTTCTGCCAGGGCTGAGAGCCAAAGTAAGATCTCTTTCAGATAATACTTAAAGTTAGAAATAA